TGTGTAGTTTTGGTGCCTGTCCTCGAACTCACAGAGACCACCTGGCTCTGCCTCCCAAGTGCCAGGATTAAAGATGTGCACTGCCACTGCCTCCAGGCTATAGTTTAGTTCTTACATTTAGAAGACCACATGGAAATGAGATATCATGGTTTGTATTGCCTGTCTTCACAAGTGCCCTGAGTAAAGGCAGGGACTGAATCGTTAAAGTGGATTTTATGAGGCTGGAGAGATGGTTTCATGGTTCATAGCATTAGCTGCTCTTCCAGAGGACTTGGACTTGATTTCCCCAGTACTCACTTTGTGGCTCACAGCCATCCGAAACTTTAGTCCCAAGGGATCAGATTCCCTCTTCTGACTCCTGGGGACACCAGGCATTTATGCTGTGCACAGATAAACATACAGGCAGAACACCCATACACATATAATAAATTTAAACGAAAGACAGGACTTTATTCAGAGTTCCAGATATCTGAGAATGCAATGAATTAACAGCCCAAAACTCAGCCTTATATCTCATCTCCAGCCAGCAAACTTTGCTGAGTGAAAACAAGGCAGTCACTCCAAAGTTTATTCCTGTCCCTCGGGCCAGGTGGTCAGCCTTGGCTTTGAGATTCATGTTGCCACTTCTCTCCTTATTGTCTCCTGCCCCTTCTCCTGTTACTGTATTTGCCCAGGCAGCATGGATGTGGACCACATGCGCTGAAGGTCACAGTGACTTGCATTCTCCTGGTATGCCATCTGGGTTCCTGATTAATTAGAACAAACATGGTTAGTGCTGTGTACATGCTGAGCCACTTAAATGTGTAAATGCAAGATTCTTTTCTACAATATGAAATACAAATGTAACCTTATAATGTAGAATGTGATAGTGCCCCAGCCATCACAAATATTCCCTGTCATTCCCCACAGTAGGCAGTAACTTCTGTGTCTAAGATCTCTATCATGTGTAGATGGCAGCCTGCTACCATGTGTTGATGATACCACAGCTTCTTACCAGTAAGAGAAATTTCTGGCATAAAGGTGAAAACTATAAGCAGTGGCAAGCAGTTGTGCTGAAAATGATTTAAGATGGACAGTGGTGGCGCACGCCTTTGATCCCAGGACTCGGGAGGCAGAGCCAGGTGGATCTCTGTGAGTTCAAGGCCAGCCTGGTCTACAGAGCGAGATCCAGGACAGGCACAAAAACTACACAGAGAAAACATGTC